GGCGACTTGTGTATTTAAACGTCCATCCCAAAATAGGTAGTAAAATCCAGATAATACCACAAATGAAATGCGATAAAACTTATAAACCTTTCCGCTTTAATTTATCGAACTTAACTAAGTTCTTACTAGTTTAGTAACTAAAAGATTTTATAAATACCACTCTTTGAGATAAACAGTTCTGTAATATATGATATAATAATAACTCGAATAAGATAATACTACAGTTTATATTAAAAAAATTAAACTAGTGATTTTGTTGTGCTGATTTCCGGAATGAAATTATTTCCCACTTAATAGTTTTTTCTTAGCAACCACTTGGACCTTGACTCTATTTCAATCGATAATAATGACAATTTGCCTCTGCTCGAGAACCCACCTACAGCCAGACAATGAATAGATATGCGGTGATCATATTTATAGCTAGTGATCAGTTTGACCCTTACCGGCTTACATAAAGTTTCACCTGACTTTTGCCTGGTCGAAAGCACCCCAACGATAGATGGTCTAGTGTCCCCCTGGTGTCGCAAACAAATTCAAATTGTTCAAGTCCCTGGCTACTTTAACTGATAGAGCAGCCGAACGCGTTGGGCACGATTCGAAACCGAACCGCAAGAACCGTAGAATCTAAGAACCGAAAGACCCAAAGAGACCGCCGCGATAAGGTGAAAACAAAAAAAAAACCAGTCAACGGGGCAGTTGGGCACGAACCAATGCCAGTTATCGAGCAGACAGCGATCCCGCCGAGCGGAGTCTCGTTAACGTTTTGTTAAACGGGACGCGAGTGCGCAAAAACACTAACAACAGAAGCGTTTCTCTATACTTTATAGGGCCTGTAAAGAAACCGTGTGCTACTTGAAATAACCTAACTGAAATATAACTCATACGACGCGTGTACAAATCGCCGGCCCCATTGCAATGATGCAAACCCTGAAACCACCGCCACCGCTACATCATCACCACCAGCACCAACTCCAGCATCCGCATCAGCAGCAGCCACATCAACATCAGCAGCATCCCCAGTTGCAACATCCCCAGTTGCAGCAGCAGCAGCAGCAGCAACAGCACCTGACAGTCATGGATAATCACCAGCAGAATCAGCCGCATATCCATCAGCAGCAGCAGCAGCAACAATTGCCACCCACGCCGCAGGCATCTCACCTGGTCGGTGGGCAGCAGCAGCAGCAGCAGCAGCAGCAACAGCATCCGCACCACAATCACCTGGCTGTCGACCAGGATGACCCAAATCCCGAACTGGTGCTCGCCTTAATTTCCAGGAACCGTGCGCTCGAGGGTAAGTGGCCAAGTCATGCCATCTTTGATTCAGCCATGTCCACCTGAGTGCTGCCTAGGAGATTTTTCTGCAGAGAGAACAATTTGTGGCACAAAAATATCGTAGGTTTCACATTTTCAGGGGTGTTCTAGCCTAGTTATTTCTGATACAAAAACTATAGAGCTATGAATGAATCTATTACTTTAAAGATTGTCTTGGGACAAGACATTTACTACTACTACTTTAAATTAAATATACAAATGTATTTTTATAACTAGTTTTCAGTTTTAGCGAACATTTATATTTCAGAAATTTTTACTTAACTAACAATAACAAAATGAAAACTCTGAATTTAAGACCTACAATGTTTTAATGTTGTTCGAATCCATATCATTATTTTTTTAAATTATACAATCAAATAAGTTCAAATAAAGTTAAACTTAAAATAAATATTGTTTTTATATGGATAGTTAAAATATTTCAGTAACAAAATCTAGCAAAAGAAGCCTTAACGTTGAAGATTGCAATATTCACAATGAAAAGTATATTTTTGTGTGTCACCAATGTAAGACATTAGATGACATATTTTTTCGCCGTGTGTGCCGCGTTTTAATTATGCAAAGTTTTTGTTTGCCGCTCGCCCTTTGTTTTTATGAGGCACCAGAAGAAAGGTCTTGCCATGAAGACGAGTTGGGGTCATAGGGTCGGTCTTTTAGGGTCATATGAGAGCCTTGCGGTTGGCCTGACTGCGGTATTACCATTTCCATTTCCCATCTCCGACCCGGACCGCCAGCTTAAGTGTTTTTCAATTAAATACGAAAGCTTTCCCGGTGGCCGACCGCCATCTTCACATCTCCGAGGAGCTCATTTCGAATGCCCTTTTAGGATGGCTCAATGTTGTGGCTGCTCGGTTTGCCCTGACCCCCCCCCCCAACTTTTTATGCACTTGCCTCGAAATATATGTATGTATATAGGGTCCAACGGGGATGGCCAATATATAACTGGCAAAAGTTTTCTTCCTTAAGGAAATATGCTGAAGAACTTATGATTTATTACTGCCTGGTTTTGGCTGCTGGTCAAAGGGATTTCTCTATTTGGAGTGGCTAAGACCGCCACAACTAAGATCCTGGCTTGTCACATTTATGATTTCGTTTCATGTCTCCCACACACGAGTACGTACACATCCCTCTCGAAAATCCCACGCCAAATCAATCGGCAATCCCCCGGACTAAAAGCCAGTCCAGAAAGTTGACAACTGACTGCGGATTGGAGTCGAGTAGAATAGAGTAGAGTCGAGTGGGGAAGATGACATCGGACAGAGACACGCGCCGCTGACAAGGACAAAAGCCGTAACCAAATCCGAAGGCGAAACTGTTGACAAACTCCAAATGTCTCCGGCATTGTTGCTAATGCGTTGGGAATACCCGGCAACCAGGAGGGCCGGTCCAAAGCACGTGTCCCCGCGACAATTCGGGCATTCAAAAGAGCAGGCTCAGCCGATTCTTTCATTTTTCCCTTATTCACATTTTCCCGGCTTCAAGTGCGGCGGGATTTCGTTTTTAGAACACGCGTAATTACAAACAAATAATATATATCCACTGGGCTGGAGGGGCAGATCCCGGAAACCGCATGTGCTGGGACCTTCAGATCGCCTTGGTCGAGCCTTCGCCACGTGTCGCTAATATGCGCTGCATCCCTGGCAAAGTGCGTGCACTCAGGAAAAATCTAAGAAATATAGTAGAATCCCCGCTTCACTACTAAAATCCATTTTGGGTTTAATTGTGCAAAATTCTAGCTTGGTATATGACCAAGATTATCACAATATGCATATTAAATATTTTTTTAGGATGATAATTTTTGGTGGCCTGTGTTCAATGAACACTTTTCATGTGTACCGGATTTTTTCTTTTCGAAACTTTCGGTTTTCGCCAGTGCTATACAATATTTTAAAAAGTTTTATTTTTATTATGTGAAAATTAATAAGTTTAAATTATACATCTCTTAAACAATATTTATTTAATATAAATCATACAATAAGTTTTTACATTCTGTGTGTTTTTAACATGACCTGAAAGTTGTGTATGATCCACTACTAAATTACACTCATAAAAATAGTTATGTCAAAGGTTGTAGAATTGAATGTAAAAATAAGCTTTTGCTATTTTTGAAAAGATTCAAAAAAATATTATTGGGTTATAATATCACAAAAAAATAAATTCATAATTATTAATTAATTTAGGGAGTCAAGAGAATCATTTTCTTGCCCCCATGTTACTCTAAAACATAATATACATTATTTTTACATACTCCAATTTCTAAGTTTTAAACCATTAGGGGAAGAACCTGGCTTGGGGCTTTCCGAACTTGATCTCTCCTGTAAAATATATTTTGTCACTTAACTTCATTTTTTTCTGTGTAATTCTCTTATTATTTTGCTTTATATATTTTTCCCAGTGCGTTTAGCTGGTGTAGCGTGGCAGTTCGCTGTCCCAAAGGATTCGACTGACGTGTGCCGAGCGACGTGCAAAAACGAGCAGAAAAATTGAATTATGCGCTTGCGGTGCTTCCTAGCACCCCCCGCAAACACCCCTCAGCATTTCAGATCCTGCCCTACCCTGAACCCAAAGTCCCACCCCTTCCATCACTCCATTTCGGGCAATCGACAAATATTTTGTTATTTGCCCATAAACATATTTATCGAGTTTGGGTTTGGTTTTCTTTTCGCTTGTTTCAAGTGCGTACCAGAAAAAGTGGAAAAGGGCTGGAGAGCTAGAGGACTGGAGGACTGCACCCACGGGTGTTTTGTTTCACCCGTTCGCCTGTCAAAAATTGTGTAAATATGTTTATCATTTCCACTTGCCCGGGGACTCGGTGCACTTAGCGCTGAGCAAACAGACGATCCACCCCGCCGCAAGGACCTCAGTGTCCTGTGCCCATATCCTCAGTCTCTTTTCCCAAACGCACTTGTCGCTCAACCGCTGGCCGCGTGTCCTTCGTTAGCAGTTCTTGTGTGGCTTTCCTATTAAGGGTCCTATAGCCCGAACCACCCCACAAAACCCACTCCATAAACCCTCCTAAGCGTATCCGTTTTAGGTTTGTTCTTTCCTTCCTTCCTTCCTTCCTTTTCCCTCCCCTCGATTCCGGAATGGGTTTCGGCAATTGTTGCCTTTAGCTTATGTAATTTGTCATAATGTCAACAGGCGCAGATCACGCAGTAAGAGCAAACACTTCATTCAAGAACTGATTGTCCATTGAAATGGCTGAATAACGTTAGCGAACCCATTTGTAGCTGGAAAAAGTGATTAAATAGATGACTTCTAAAAAGGGCGCGAATCCCTTTGAAGATGAGTCTACAAATGTTTGTTTGGCCTGAGGTTAATAATTATTTTGCTATAAAAGACTTTTACTTAAAAGTTAATATGTTTTATTAAAGTATACTAACCATAACATTAAATTGTAATTGTAAAATGTATTTAAAATAATATTAAATTAAATATTGCTTATAGCTTTTCCCTATATTAGAGTCTATAAATATGTCTTGGTTGAGGGTTAAATTCTTCAAAATTCGAAAAAAAAATTAGGTTACATGTGTTCCTATTTTATTTGCTTAAAGGACTTATAATAAGTGTTATTAAATTATAATATTTAATTTAATACTGCTTTTAGCGTATTTATTTTTGAAATCATTTGTATTGTCTTTGTTTTAAGGCACCAAAAAGGTTATATTGAATACTTTTATGATATCTGCATTGATCAAGATTTAAAAATACATTTTTAAGGAAGTGCTTAATTTAAATTTTGAATTTGGAAAGTATTTAAAACCGACTACATATAGTTATATGCTATTAGATAGATGACTGGACCATTTGTGCCTCTGATCAGTGCCATCTCGTTGGTCAGCAATTCCCTCAGATCCCTGTGAATGGACTGAATCTCCTCTTGATTGGCCAAAGCATCAATGGCCACGTGAATCTCCCGGAGATAGTCCATTGTCGTAGAATTCTGAATACTGGCATAGGAACTAGTTTGTGGAAGGCGCTCGTATCCCGGGGCCGTTTGATAACTGCTCTCGGTCGTATAACCAGAAGTTTCAGAGTCGGATTCAGATAGATTAGCACTGCCGATGGTGGTGATGGAACTTCTTCTTGATTGCAACTCCTCCAGAACTATTTGCGATGATGTTTCCGTAAGTGAATCAGATTGATTATGTGGAGACTCCCTGGTAACTTGTCTACTTTCCTGGGATCTGGAGCGCACAGGTTTCAGAAGTCTAGTTCGGCTGCATTTCGTATTGGTTTCAGACTGCGATCGTATAAGTCTCTTTCTGTTTACCATCGACTCCATCTCACTCATATAACTAGGACTCTTCTTTGAATCTATCGATCTAATCCAGTTCCAGATCGTAAATTTGCGAAAGATTGGGTTCCAAATCGGATTTGTAATCGAGGTCGGTGTTTGTGCTTATTTCATCAGTAAAATCGGTTTGTGTAGATGAGTTGAATGTCTTGAATATTCTGGCCAGATCGCGCCGGAAGACGTTATAGGCAGTCAAGTTGATATCAGACATCTGTGTAAAAACAAATCCATAGGAACAGTAAAGATAAACCAATTTCGAATTGTTTTCGTACCTACCTTATTTTTTGGATTTTGAAATTCCGACCGAAATGGGTGCCCTTGATGAGGCAAAAAGGGGAAGTAGAATGTGTTTGGAATATTACTTTTTCTTTGGCAATGATATCAAGGCAAGGTTTCCTTTGTTTATTGTTAAAACATGTTACCCATGTGAGGGTTCTTCAAGCATCGATAAATATTTAAATTTTGCAAAGATAAGAACATTATTTCTAACCCATTAATATAAATAATAGCGTCACGCAAATCATTAATTTCTTGTATATCCCCAATTTTTTTTTGGGGCTTGGAAATTTAGAGCTTCCGATGAGCATTAATAACCCATACACCTTCTGTAGGGAATTCGTTATTTTTCTAAGGGTTCGGATAAAAAAAAGAATCTTCCCCTGGGTACATCAATATCTTATACCTTTTCGGTGACCCCAATACCATTGGAGTCCGCTGTCTGTGAAGCACACTTTCAGCATTTTTCATTGCTGGAAAAACAAGAATATAGTCCCGAAAGGAAGGTAAAATTGTGGGTCTATCAGAGGGCCCCCCCCCGCTAAAGTCTGGCAAACAAAAGCAGGCCCAGAGCCAAGTTGAGAAATCAGTTGATTCTGTTATTTTTCCCGGTTATTGTTGGCTTTTCGTTTCCGTCCGCTCGCTCCTTCCTTTATGGCGTCCACATAAATCATTTTTTCGCCATTTTTCCGGATTCTGGTAGAGGGGGTTTGGGTTGGGCAATGGCGATGGTGACGGGGAATTGTGGAGCCCTCCTGCACATTTCCACCTCCTGCATATTTGATGGCTTTCTGGGTCTGCGCTTAGCATCGACGACAGCTTTTTGACTAGCCAACTGCCGACTGGCAGGTAAGCCAAGCGACTACCTCACCACCACCCAACTTTTTTCCACCATTTCCACCCACTGGCTGTTCCTTATTTTTCTTTCTATTTTTTTTGGCCACGTCTGATGCTCCCCCCGTGGAGGACTCTTTTTTTTGTCAGGGGGTTGAAGGCGAATGTTCAAGTTATGTTAAGTAAATAATGGGGCGTTCATATGACGCTGGAAACGTGTGGGCGTGGGTTTTTTGTGGGGTGAAGGCCCGTCTTTTTCTTTACTTTTTCTACTTTTAGCAGGAGGGTGTACACAGTCATGTGTGTTTTCGCAGTCAACTGTTTACTTTTATATTTCTTCGCTGCTTAATAAAATAAAATAGGAATTTCGCTTGGTAAAAAATGAACGGAACACAAATGGCTGGGGATGTCAGTTGAGTATAGCGGGACATCTGGGACTAGCTTTAAAAGAGAACAATGTTCTAGAAACTAGATAAAATAATGCTTAAAATAAATATCACTTGCTTTAAAATTGTATTTTATTTATATTATTTATTTATATTACTTTATTTATACTATTAATTTATTTTAAAAACTAGAGCATTTGATTTTTCAATAAAAATATAATATATATCGAAAAATTTCAGCATTAAGATCATAATGAAATTACAAATTACATTGTATTAAAGTAAGACAAAACAATAAATATAAACCACCAATTTTTTTAATAGTTAAGGAAACTATAGTTTTTTACCTATAACTATTTGAGTAAGAAATTATAATTGATTTTTAATAGATTCTTTAAATATCTTAGACTTTATTCATTGTTGAATTATAAAAACCTATTTCATATATTTTTTTATAAGTAAATTATATAAGAATAGTGGTTTAAAATTCTTAAAAGCAAACCTTGGAGTAATATTTATTTAGATTTTGTCTCCTTTCTGGAATTGCCTCCCTTTCGCCGCAACCCACAAGTTCTGTATATTTTGCAAAGTAAAAACTTTTTTCGCTACTTCGGAGTAAACAAGTGAGATGTACGAAAACATTGCACAGCTATGTTTATATGTGCAGATATATATATAGTTATATTTATATATATATGTAGGGTATTCTACCCCCCTCGAGTGTGTTTGCAGAGTGCCTGTGGCGGGCCAACAAGACAACATTGCGTTGTTGCAATGCTGTATGTATTTGAAGTGAACTGAATATTTTTGTATTTGTGCAGCACACTTTGAGGAGCCACATTTCAACTTCCCCCCAAAAAAACACCAGCCACAATTTTCCAGCCACTCCCCATTTGGCAGCTGGCAAAAGCTGTCTCAATGCTGCTCTGGCTTCTATAAAAAACAATATCCCGCAGCGAACTTTATTAAATTACACGATTTTGACAGTTAAGCAACAGCCAGCCCCTCAGCTCCTCGCCCCCCCTCGAAAATCAACCACTTCCTTCCCTCTTGTGGAAATCATAATTTTTCTTATTTTATGTAATACGCTCGAAGCTGCCAACAACCCGGAGAGATAAGAACATCCTTGTACCCACCTCAATGCCATCCCATTCTCATCCTCATTCTGGATTGTACACCCCATCCACCGAGGAACTGTCTAGCAACGTGTTGGGGTTCAGGAGCTTCTTGGTATTCCTTGGGGGCCGGTTTAGGCAAATACGAGTCGAAAATGCTGGCAATAACAAAGCGAACAGAGATACGAATTCTTATTTTATTTAATTGTCACACCCTTGCAGAGAGTCATCTGATTTTCCGCAAGCTTTGCATTTCATACATATAGTTTACGTCTTCCCTAAATTTTAAAAGTCCATAAACCAGAGAACCCAAAAATTTTTTTTTTTTTTGCCACCTAGTTCATAATTTAAATTAACACTTTGAAAATGTGAAATATTTTTCGGACTTTGAAAATTGTTTTTTTTTGAGTTTAAATAAAATTGTTATAAAATTTCAAATTTTCAAAGGCTGACAAGTTTTAGTATATAGTGAGCTACAACTCGTCAAGCTTTAAAAAGGTGACATTTTTAATTAATTTTTCAATTAAACGGAGACATTATAGTTGTTAACTATAACATATTTCACCTGAATTGGTTAAACGCAACTGGATATATACTTAAAAACTAGGAGATGAAAAAATTTTTTCACTTCTTTTTTGTGATCTAGGGACCAGGAACTACCATTATCCTTCTTGGAGCATTTTTAAAATATTATTTTGTAAGCTTGTGTATTGTATTTCAAATCAAGTTATATTTTCTGTTTAAAAAATAGTTTATGTATTAAAAAATGGGTACCATTTCTTAAAAAAACGTATTTAAAACAATTAACTGCTTGTTAACACTTAATACCGACATGTGCAAACATATAGCCAGGGTATTTGTATTTTGGACTGTTATACAACAGAAACCTCCCTGGCGCTTTTATTATTTTAACGAATCCAAAATCCCAGGCAATGGCAACCGAGTTGATGAAACATTTGCGTGGTTTTTGCCCTGGGGCAGTTGCCTTTGGAAGGGGCTTGTAGTTCCGAAGGGGGGTGGCTATGGTAGCCGCCTCGGTTAGCTACTTTCTGTTTTTTATCATTCCGCAATTAGCGCACCCATGTCCGCTCCCGCTTATCATCGTCTCCGGACTCTGGAGCAGTAGCTCCGGGTTGGGGGTAAATGGGGGTAGTACCCCATTGCTGCTGGGTGTAAATATTTGAACGGCATTTCAGTCGATACCTTGAACATTGATAAGGCTTTACCCGCGGTATCTAAGTATCTGGGTATCTATAAATACGCAACGTATGCATTCTTCTTGTTTTCTATTTTCATGTGCCCGTTGTAGGAGTATCTTCCTAGGGTTATGTTATCGTCTGGTACAAGATTTGCCCATTGAGGAGGCAACACTGTTGTTGACACTCTGTTTCACCGGTTACAAGGTGCCCCTCTAGCGAAGGTAGAAAAGAAAATACAGAATGTACCAATTGATAAGGCCAGACCAAAAACATGAAACAGAAACTGTGTTTCGAGAGAAGTACGAGTACTAGTATCTGGTTTTGCTTACCGATATGTTTGTTCGGAGGAAAAGAAGTGATTTTTATGGTTTTATTGGTATTGCAGGTCTTCCAAAAAAAAAAGGGGAAGCCATCTACCCCAGCAGCGTTAAATGAGGCCTATTAACATGAATCCGCTGGATAATGCACACAATTTTTCTTTTCATACCGCTCAACCCCTCGGAAGTGCCACCCCCACTCCAACTTCCGAATTTAATTCAACCACCCCTTTTTGGTGGCAGTCCTTTTATGCTCTTATTTTATCACTGATTATTTTCCACATCGCTATGCTCTTTGTCTCGATTCCCGGACTCTTTTGTCCGAGGCATATCTTAACAGGTGGTCCCAGCAGGTGGCTATAAAGCCAGGATCCTTTGTCCATGGACCACCATCCATCACTCCTGCCCATTTATGCAGTATTTACCTTTCAATCAAGTCGGGATATAGTTGTTTGCATTTTTGATTCCATCCTTTTGTGTTTGTGCTTTCTGTGGCCAGCCAAGTCAACAGAACATTATTAGCCACAGAAATCTCTAACAACTCTTATGATACAAGATAACCCTAGGGTAAGGTAACCCAAGGTAACCACAGATCATAATAACTTGGAAGAATTTATTTAATAAAAATTATAACTCAGTTTAATAGATATGTTTCATCTAAAAGTCTGCTAGTTACCTTTAATTACATGTTAAAATATTTCCAGTTTTTATAAATTGTGTGGCCAGACGAATTATAGCTTGAATGAGTCACGATCTATGAACGAGTAAGCCCCTAATTTTAGCTCAAATTATCTCTTGGGTTTTTTCGCTAGTTGTAGATAATCACGGCACAGACAATGCTAAACAATCAATGTGTTATTATTGGTATATATATTCTGGAAGCTATTCACGTGGGGTTCCACTTCTGTATATGCTGGAAATGTTGTCATTATAAAGCAATCTAATTCCCGATATGTCATTTTCAACAATAATAGCCGCGATTAGTTAACTTATCAACAGTTCCAAGGAAAGTCTGAATTTACTCCAGTCAGAACACCCGGCGGAAACTCATCTATAAGTCGAAATAAAAAGAGTTGAGACATTCGATTTGGCCACTGAACTCACCCACACGGAAATAGCGAAGAATGATTGCAGATTCGGACTATTGTTTTGATTTTTGAACAGAAAACAGTCGGCAGTCAATCCTACGAGTATCGCCACTTATAGGGGCTTATCGGGCTTACGGCACGATAAGTTAAGTTTTGCCTAAC